CCAATTATACGCTGATTATTATAGTCCGCAATAAATAAATATCCATCAGCATCAAGTACAACACTAGTTGGACATTGCAATCTAATTGTCTGATTCGATCCAGATTCTACCACAGTTGTCATGTTTGTATACCCTCGTTGTAGTAATTGCACTCTATTGTTTCCGCAATCTGCTATGTACAAATTGAGGCCAACATTAACAAAGATTCCTCGTGGAATCCTTAGCATATATGGTCCGGATCCGGCAGTACCATTACCTGCGATAGTAGTTATTGTATTTGCACTGTGATTGAATAATATTACTGTGTTAACATCACTCATAGAACAATAAATATTGCTTTCGATGTCGACAAAAATACTGTAACAAGTACCATTAACAAACATGGAAGTAAGATTAAAACCTGATCCAATCTGTACCCATTTCTCTACGGTACCATTATTCGCACTGTTGTAAACATAAACAGTACCCTTAGCAGTGACAAATAGAGCAGTTGGTCCACCCAAACCATAAGAAATATATGTTTGTGGATTCGTATTTCCTTCTAACCATACGAAAATAGTATTACGGCTTGTTGCAGTCACATAAACAGTGTTGTTAATATTGACAAAGAGACCTTGGGGGAAAACGCCAAGGGTGGTACTATTCGCAAGAGTTATAGCGTCAGGATTCCATGTTGCATTTGAACAAAATTTCGGTTGATTAATGGAAAGAACTTTATAAAATAAAACTTAAATATATCAAATCTAATTTCAACAAATAGTATATAAAGCTGAGCAGTGATACCCAATAAAATAATCATATCTTGAAAATAAATTCTTTTAAGCTTTATTGGTGGCAAAAATATGGAGTCTAAACGACTTCAACATCTATGAGGATCTTCTCTAGTGAGGTAATCTATATCAACAAAAAATAATTATTTACCTAATCCTTGAACATTCACCAGTAGAACAGTCAAACAGAAAACTACATTATACAATGCATTCATTTTTCATTTTTGATTATGATTCAATGAATAGAGAATTGATTATAGATTTTTTTCCAATGTGGGGCTTTTTTTTACTCGATAATTAAGAATAATATTAGTTTATTATTCCGTAT